CTCCATGGACTAGCAGTGACCTCTTTACTGCTGGAAGCAGAGTCATCAATGTCTTTATGACTAACCAGACCTGAGAACCAATTTAGAAAACTCATCCTTACAATTTTGTTTCTCTTCAACCACTCCCGGTACCAAATGTCTTAGGCTGGTTCTCTAGAGAAGCAAAATGAGTGAAGTGTATAAATATATATATATAGAGAGAGAGATTATATCAAGGAAATAGCTCACGTGATTGTAGAGGCTACAACGTCCCAAGTCTGTGGATCAGGGTAGAGGCCTCTCCCAAGTTACACAGCTGCAGGAGCTGGCAAGCCCAAGATTGGCAGGTTGGAGAGCAGGGCTCCTGCTCACAGGCTGTGCAGATCGACGAATCCCAGGTTCAGCAGATAAGCTGACAGCTCAAGTTCCAAGAAAGGGAGATGAGACGACAGGAAGCAGCTGCAGGATCCAGAGAGAGCAAAAAGCCAGAACGTCTGCTTATATACAGAAGGGTGCCACACCCCCAAGGAGACTCCCTTTCATCTGATTGGCTACTCACAGTATATTCAATCATGGGAGTGATTACATTAAAACACTGAGAATCATGGCCTAGCCAAGTTGACACACAATCTTAACCATCACACTCTGCTACCCCAAAGATATGACTAAGCCTCAATGATAATACACAGAGTTAGAAAACATTAAGCCATACAGTCAAGATTAGATCATGGCTGGATAAATTACATGATAGAATATTGTGCAGCTATTAAGATCATGTTCATAAATATTTATCATAAATAACCAAGCATAAAACAGGGGAATACAGAATTGCTTAAACAGCATGCTTTCAACTATATAAAGATAAAAAAAATATAGACATGACTAAAAGAAATATGCCCAACTATTAACGGTGATTGCGTCTAGAGCGGTCTTCCCCCACCCCCCACCCCAGAGGGAGCCCTGGTGGCGCAAGTGGTTAAGCACTCGGCTGCTAATCTAAAAGGTCAAAGGTTCGAACCCATCAGCCGCTCCATGGGAAGATGTGGCAGTCTGCTTCTGTAAAGATTACAGCCTTGGAAACCCCGTGGGGCAGTTCTACTCTGACCTATAGTCGCTATGAGTTGGAATCAACTCGCCAGCAATGGGTTTAACGTATACGGAAATACATATTAAATTTTGTCGTACTCCCAACACCTCCAGCCTGCTACACGCTTAGAGGACTCCAGCCGTCAGAGAAGCCCTAGGCACAGAGCTGCAGGTATTTACAGCTGGAAGCCTCCCCGTGGGCTTGCAGGGGGGTGGTAGGTGGGCAGGGCTCCCCGACAGCAGCTGCTGCAAACACCCACCCATCTACACACACTTGAGAACACACACACATTCACAGCGAAACACGTGTACAAACAGGCACACTCTTAAATACACACCAAGCCGACTCATGCTTTGCCTGTTCACATGCCTATACCCAATGAATATCAAAACACTCTTGTGTACGTATGTAGGTCACCGTGAGTCAGGATCGACTCAACAGCAACTAGTTTTTTCAATCTAAATGCACAACACATAGGAGCCCTGGTGGCACAGTGGTTAAGCATTTGGCTGCTAACCTAAAAGTCGGCAGTTCAAACCCCACAGTGGCTCTGCGGGAGAAAGATGTGGCAGTCTGCCTCTGTAAAGATTACAGCCTTGGAAACCATATGGGGCAGTTCTACCCTGTCCTACAGGGTCGCTATGAGTCAGAATTGACTTGACAGCAAAGGGTTTGCCCCCTCCTCCCAACTTAATAATCCTTTTTCCGTACTTTAAGTATTTCTACAGGGAGCAGCATTGCTTTGGTAATAAAACAGATAAACAAGTGAAAAACCAAAAAGGCAGAAAAACAACAAATGGTGCTCCAAGTTTAGGATTACCCATTGGCATCTAGCAGATTCCAACTCATAGCGACCCTATAAGACACAGTAGCACCGCCCCATAGGGTTTGCAAGGCTGTAATCTCCACGGAAGCAGACTGCCACATCTTTCTTCCGTGGAGCGGCTGGTGGGTTGGAACCGCGGACCTTTTGGAGCAGCTGAGTGCTTAAGCACTGCACCACCAGGCCTCCTTTTAGTTTAGGATCATGGGATACAAAACAGACCATCACTTTTACCAAATGTTCACACCTTCCCTTTTCGTACAGTTGTAATTCTTTACTAAGTATCTTCATGTACAGTACTTGATGTGATTTCCCTCAACAATTCTAAAGCATGCAGTGTCGGTATTAAACTCCAAAGATGAGGAAAACAAAGCTCTGAGAGGTCAAGTAAGTGTCTTAGGTGTATGATGGATTGGTAAGTGCAGCAGTCCAGAGCTAGAATCCACATGGTATTCATTTCCTATTGATGCTCTAACAAATTACCACACATCTAGCAGCTTAAAACACCCATTACCCTCATGTTCTGTAGGCTAGGCGTCCACATGGGTCTCACTGGGCTAAAGTCAGGGTGTCTGCAGGCTGCGTTCCTTCCTCGAGACTCTGGGCAAGAAGGCATTTCCAGGCTCACTCAGCTGCTGCCAGTGCTGTTCCGCAGCTGCAGGCCTCAGGGCCTCGCTTCCTTGTTGGCTGTCAGCCCGGGCTGTTCTCAGCTTCTAGAGCTGCCCACATTCCCTGGTTTGTGGCCCCTTCGTCAAAGCCAGCCATGGCCAGTCAAGTCCTCACACTTCAAATTTCTCTGACTTCCCCTTCTGCCTCCCTCTTCTGTGTTTAAGAGCTCGTGTGATTACATTGGGTCCACCCAGATAATGCAGGATAATTTCTCTATTTTAAGGTCAGCTGATTAAATAATCTTAATTACATCTGCAAAGTCCCTTCACCTGGAGTAGTGTTTGACTGAAAAAACCAGGGGACAGGAATGTTGCAGGTGAGGTTCTGCCCACCACACGTCTTCTGACATGTAGTCCATGTTGTTACTGTTTCTCTGTTACTCTGAAAGGTCTGATACAGTCTTTCATCTACTTTCCTTGCTGGATTTTGACTACTCATAAAAATGTATAAGGAAGGGCAACCAGTGGTTTTCCATTTGTATCTTCTACTAAGTAAAATAGTTTCACTAAACAAAATGGGTTCTCAAACAACTCACAAACTTGGTAACATATTAATAAAACAATGTGTGGAGAACTTGTCTATATAAGCTTTCATCCCATAAGTCAATGTATGTAACTCTATGCAGAGCTTGAAATAAAACCAGGGCAACGAAACAGGAAGTACAAGCAAGCTTCTATAACTGGGATCTCTTTCTAAGGTCTTCAAAAATACTTTAATTACATTTTGAGGACCACCCTGAAAGTCGCAAATTGCAAAACTGAGAGTTTTCTTAAGAAATACCTCCTATGTTTAATTACATGGCTGGTAAGGAAATCTTACTACAGTAAATATATTTGCATTAAGGAAGTCATTATTTTTCAGCTGGGTAAGATATTCCAAAGGCTTGCGACTCAAACAAAGGTTGTTTATGACATCAAAAACTAAAACCAATCGGTTGAAATGGCATATGTTTGTTACACATAATTGTACCACACACACACAAAACTAAAACCAGTAAAAAGCTTAGAGACAAAAAGTTTAATTTTATTACAATTGTTTTTCAGGTCAGCTATGATTTTGACAAATAAGTAAGTCTATACCAAGTCTAATTTCCAAGATACAAAAGACAATAAATATAGATTCAAATGCAGCCTAAAAACAAGATTCTGAATCTAATTACCTATAGTGTAGCTTAGTTTCAATGTTTCAAATATATAATTCCGAAGATGCTACAAGAACTTATGTAATAAAATTATTGCTGACAACCAACTAACAGTTCTCCACTGGCAACATACAAGTGTGCGGCACCTCCAGCCTTCACTGAGTCCTCTGAGGGTCCCTGGCACTTGGGGACAATCAGCGATGGCGCCATGATGGCACTGGTCCTTTCTGGGAGGAGGACTGGGATCGGGGCAGGTGCTGAAGACGCCAACTAAACAGGACTTGAAGCTGACTCTCCCACTAGCAAAATAAATGGCCCTCTTTCTTGTAGAAAATGGGATTGTCACTGTCTGTCCTTCTGCGTGCTCCCCGGAACACCTTCACCCCACCGCAGCACGGTCCGCTTGCTTATAAGCTCCACTTCATCGGGCTGAATGGGCTCCATGAAGAGTGAATTCTGCAATCCTTCATTTTCTTCCAGGGCACATTCTTCACTGCTTTCAAGCTACACTGTCATTAAAATCAGTCTTGTGAAATTTTTGCCAAAAAACAATCAACGTATTACTTCCTCTTAGCGGTAACAGAGATTATTTCTTCATCAACTACAATTCTGTAGTTTCAGGCCAAGCTCCTTTGTCTTGGTTTAATTCTTGGGTACAGCTGTAAGAGAGTTTAGAAAACATTCACTTACTATACAGAAGTGCAAGGGCGTAACAAAATTTCAAGAAATACTGGGGGGTGGGGATGGGGGGTGGAGGTCACAGAAAGGCAATCGAACTAAGAAAAAGGACTTTCTGCCACATGAAGCACCCAGTGCTGCCTGAGTACACAAACATTCACATTTTACAGCTGCTCTACTCAGCTACTCTGCAAAAGACATTCAAAGGTCACAGGGATCTGCCAGCTGTAGCAATATCACAGCACAGTAATACAACAATCTGAAGCTAACCACTCCACGATGGCACTAAGCATTAACACAATTTTCACAGCTGGCGCAGTGGTTAAGTGTTCGGCTGCTAACCCAAAGGCTGGCAATTCAAATCTACTAGCCACTCCTTGGAAACTCTATAGCGCAGTTCTGCTCTGTCCTACAGGGTCACTGTGAGTCAGAATCGACTCAATGGCAACGGGTTATAAGCGCCAGCTTCTATTTCTAGAAGAGATTAAAGTCTCTCTTAACTTTATTCACAATGAACATAACATTGCATCAAGGGACGTGAGGCTGTCGGGAATGAAACGTCTCAGAGGGAAAGCCCACGTTTCTAAGGAAGGCTGGCTGGTTCTCTGGTTAGGGTTCTTGCGGTCTGATATTCTTCATAAGGAAGGCTGGAGAGGAGGGCGTTTGAAGGTCATGAGATCTCCAGTCTGGAAGCCAAGAGCAAGTCAAACAAGTAATGCAACTGACAAACCAAACAAAAAGACCTCCTCCCCCTGACAAACAAACAACAACAAAAAAAAGGTTCATTAAACGAAGCAGAGTCAGAGAAAATAAAATTAAACAGACTTCCAGCCAAAACTGAAAAACTAACTGGTAGATCAATGTATCTAAAGGATTGTTTTTCTATCTGAGAAAAGATATTTAGCCAATACAATTTTCCAGACTCATACCTGAACCTCTGACTAAAAATTCAACATGTATGCATTTTCCTTTTTAAAAAAAAAAATCACAACAAACAGAAAAAAAAAAGTGCAGAAGCCACTCCTACCCAGAAAAGATTTCCAAAAATTTTAACAAAATGTAACTATGAACATTTAAATGTGGGATTTAGATGAAAGTCTTCAGTCTGGTCTACTGGCCTCTTGATGGCCCCACACAGGAGGCAGAGCTCAGGTCCCTGACTGCTTCCACACTTGGGAACGAATAATCCTCCCCATGTTTCATCAACCATGGGACCTCTTTGTTAGAAAATTAAAAGAAAATACTCAAATGAACTACAGAGCAACTAGTTCTAAGAGGGAGAGTTTTGCTTTTTCCAAACTATAAAAAGGAATACAGTGCTGATTTACTCTGAAAGTTTATTAGTGGCTATGCGCAAGGCATCGTACTTCTCGGGTCCTAGAGACTTCAGAGAAGTAAACTGGGTGCCTGAAAGAGTACAACCATTATAGGTAGTTCTCCTTTCCTCTGCTAGCTTGACAGCTCTTTAACGGGCTCCATGGCCTAGTTTTTTCTCACTTTCATTGTTCTTTATAATTTACATTATGGTTACACACGTGAACACTGACTAAACCCCAAATGTTCGTTTCATAGTTAAGTTGTGCTATCGGGAAGGGAGCAGTCAAGACGGAGGAAGGAGGAGGAGATGCTGGGTCAGCACCCAGGCTGTGAAGTCCCAACACTGAGGCATTTCAATGAGCTCCACAGAAATTAAGGCTGAGGCGACTGAACATCCACAGACACCACCTGCCAGAGTCTAAGCTCACTGTGGGCAGGGATCGCGTCTGCCTGACGTATGATAAAATACAGTAATCCTGTCTACCTTGGCTATCTACTAGTACCTGATTTTCCTCACAACGATCTGAGGAGGCAGGTCTCTACCCTCCCCACCTTCCCTCCACTGCCGTTCTCCACACAGCGAGTGCTGCCGTGTTTCTAATGTGACTTCAAAGCCAGTTCTCCACCAATATGCCCGATATCACACACAATTGGCCCTCTTGGTCCTCAAACTTTTCCCTACTTCCTCCCCAAGAGGAGATTTCAAAAGCACTTTCACCCTTCAACTTTTATTTCATTTTTTCAGTTATCCTCATCATTCCTCTCATTCTCTTTCACACACCCAACACGCCCCTAGGGACAGACAACCACGTAGGAGAATAACTGAACCCATGAAAGCGCTAAAAGCTAAGTCTTGAAGATGGTATTCTCCTTCTCTTCTCTGTCCCACCAGACTCTAGCTTTTTCTCTAAAAATACTCCCAAGAATCCTCACCTAACAGCAGTCCCACCGTAGTAATACAGAATTGTTACTGGTTTACATGGGCCTACGTGATTTTAGTGATGTCTTGGTTTTTATGAAACTTAAAATCTAAAAGCAGAGAAAGAACAAAGAATCTTGTGTCTTTAATGCCCTGTTCAGCTCTCTACCACGTGCCTACGTATATCAGATGGCAAATCCTGATCCAGACAGATTTCAGATCTATTTCAAATGTCGGAAGTTCAACTGCCATCATATTACGCAGTTATCTTCACTCTGTGTATAAATATAGACAGAACCCCTGACCTTTAGAGGCTGGCAAATATACTGTTGATTAGAACAGGAATCACTGATAATATGGCTCTCAAAGTCTAAATCTAAGATTGCCAAAAATTGAAAATCCCACGTCTTTGTAGCAAAGTGCAGGAAGCTGCGTTATATCCATAACCTAGAGCAGTTTTTGCAAAGCCCCTCTCTGACACAGAAGCACACCACAGTGCTGGAAAAACTTACTCCCAGCAAGTTGCGTGGGACGTATCCCTCCTTGTCGTTAAGGCGTGCCCACCACCACTCGATCTCGTCCTCATCTTCCCTGCGGACGATTGTCATGCAGTCTCCTTCTCTCATGGGCAGCTCATCGTCATTCTGAGGTTCATAATCCCAGAGTGCATAAATGACTCCTTTGTTCATGATGCCCATCTTCTCCTGGACTCCTAAATCGTGACAGGAACACACAGCACGGAACACGTCACTCAGAGCATTCCAGCTCCGTAAACCACACGGGAAGAAACGGGCCTGGGGGGCATGTTGGAACTACTACATTAAACATTCGGTAAGTAAATTTCCCGTAGCGCGGACGAGGGGGAGAGGGCCAGCAGGGAACAGGGAACGTACAAAAGACATGTCACATACATTACCAGCGCTAAAACAGCTCTAAAAACGAACCGGACGGAGGACAAAACGTTTTGCGAGCCCAGGGACATTAACAAAAGTGAAGGATCTGCGTGTCAAATTTCAGCACGCTCCTAAGTGTAACCAACAACTGAAAACACTACTTCTTTTCCTGAAACTGAGAGCAACAGAGAAAAAGACCAGAAGTGTTTTGTCAGGAAAAGTGGTCGCCACCAAACTGTCAAATGGAGAAAAATAACATTTGAAAAAAATCACGAGGTACACTAGCATGCAGGAATATGGCATTTTAGAAATGACACAAAAATCTACCACGAGAATCAGAATTCTAAGACACTGAAATCCATAAACTTGGTGGGGGGAACCCCTCAAATGCCTACTTTTCACCAGAGGTAACAGATGTGCAAACTAAGTTTTACCTTTCTCCATTTACACCTTCCTGTTCTACAGGGGGGAGCCCTGGTGGCTCAGGGGTTAAGAGCTTGGCTGCTAACCAAAAGGTCGGCGGTTTGAATCCACCAGCCACTCCTTGGAAACCCTGTGGGCAGCTCTGCTCTGTCCCATAGGGTCACTGTGAGTCGGAATCGACTTGACGGCACCGGGTTTTTTGGTTTTTATCCCGTAGGGGCAACGTTAATGAGGAATAACCATCACAATTGGCAGGCAAGAGGAGGAAAGTAGCGAAGAAGGAAAGGAATTAGACAATAAAGTCCTGAGCTTATATTAATTCAGAGTTAATTATTATTTTCACCTTTACATTAAAAAAAAAAAAAAAAAAACCAAGCCAGGAAAATATCTACTTGCTTTCTGATAGTCAGATTTTTCAACTTACATGAACAGTAAACTATAAATTATGAACTTATTACTCCTATACCAATTAATGTCACATAGCAAACAGTACATCCTTCTCAGTGTGGACAAAAAATAAATCAAGAAATGAATTGTTCATTTCCAAAAGGAGGCTCTGTCAGTCTAAAAGGTCAGGTTTCTACTAATGGGGACCAGTATATTCCCAACTTTCCTGTTTAAATAGGACATGCAGAGCCTGACAGACTCCATATCTGTTTAGGATGGGTAGGAAGGAGGGTGAAGGACAGACATCCTGGATATTTTAATATACTCAAAATTAACAACTCGAATCCCATTTCTAGGAAATCATTACGAATTGAAGAAGATTTCTCATTGCTGTTTATCAAATTAAGAACTGCAAATTACTGTCTTAAAAAACTTTTGAGGGGCCTGAAACATGCTCAAGGTCCCTGGTAATTAGGGAAATGCAAACCCCAGCCACAAGGAGGTATCACTCCATATCCTCCAAGGGCCACAGAGGCTGTGAAGCAAAAGCAGCTTTGCCAGAGGAGGGTAAAAGGGCATAATCTATCACTGTGGAAAGCAACGCTGAATTTACGACGACAGCTAAGGATGCGCATCACGGCGATCTGGCGATTCTGCTCCCAGACACACACCAGAAGACATGTTTGAAAATGATCACAGGAGCAAGCAGTGTTTTTATAAGAGCAAACAAGCATGAATACGCACATGCATAAATGGAGTCAACCCACATGTCCTTCCAAAGTAGCACGGAAAGCTAAACCGTGGTACAGTCACAGAAATGGGCACCGCAGCACAGTGAGAATAAACCACAGCTGCACACAGCGGCACAGACGAATCTCAACAACAGTGCTCGTGAGAAAAGCAGCTCTTCAAATGGCCGGTGTGATCAATTTTATACAAAGCCCCAGAAGAGTCAAACGAAACAAGATTAGCTATAGAAGTCATACAGAGGGGATATAACTAAATTCCAGGTAGCGGTTTCCAGGCACTGTCAGAGGGCGCTGCAGAGACAGCAGATGATTCAGAGAGTGGTGATGCTCTTTCCTCAGCCGGGTGAGGGATACACGGATGTGCACTGTGTTCAATTTATGTCATTAGCATCATCATTTAAACTGCACAGCCACAGCATAAACACTGTTGGTATCTATAATATATTTATAATTAAACCAAACCCGGTGCTGTCGAGTGGATTCCGACTCACAGCGAGTCGAACTGCCCCACAGGGTTTCCAAGGCTGTAAATCTTTATGGGAGCAGACTGCTGTATTTTTCTCCCTTGGAGCAGCTGGTGGGTTTGAACCGCTGACCTCTTGGTTAGCAGCCAAGTGCTTAACCACTGCGCCACCAGGGCTCCTATATTTAGAAGTCCCTAAATGTTTTTTAAAATTGTTATTTCGTATTTAAATATATCTCAAGAAGACCAATAAATTTAATATCAAGGTATCTTATGTCTAGAGTTGAAAACTTTAACAGAAAACAATCATAAACATCAACACCACCAACTACCAGCTGAGGCGGATGAGGAGAACTTGACGCTTGTGTTCCTCACCCTGATCCTCCCTCCCTCTTGTCTGGAGCCTGAGAACAGGCCTCGTGAGGCAGAGGGCCACGTCTTCTGAGGCCAAACTGAAGGAAAAAACTAACCTCAACTTCTGAGCCTTGTACATAAAACATAATTTTCCTTGAAAATAAAAATGACAACCAACACACATCCATCTAAAACGTCAAGTCCATGTCTCTCTAGGTACAGCTCTGATGTTACCAATCAGAATCAGAAACTCAAAATCAAGAAACCAAAAGAGTAACACAGCACGTGGCTGCATTTATTTTACTTTATAACAAGTGTGACTTAGCAGGGACACCTGAGTCCCCAGGGTCTCATACAACACCAACACCGCATCTCCCCTAACCACCCTGGAAGGGGGCGGTTCTAGGTACTTATTGGCCAGCACTCACTAAGTGCCAAGGCCTCAGCAGAGGATCCTGTGATGGCCAAAAGCCACTGACACCACGAGGTCAGACGCTGCATCGACTGTCTTGCAGCTGGACACGTCCCTGACAATAGGCGTTTCTGGGCATGAACACAAAAGCTGCATTAATATTTCTGGCTGAGGCTGCTCCACTTTCATCATCCAACTTCCAACATACAACGCAAGATTGTTTCTAAGTAACAAAAATACTTCTCAAATTATAGCCTAGAGACAGATGACACAGAAATGCAGTAACTGAGGCGCCGCATTCTAGCAGTCCCGTACCATAAAGAAACTGGGAGCACTGCGTGTAGCCCTCCTCCATCTCCTCGCACTTGTCCGCAGCCGTCTGCATGTCACTGTAGGTCATGGCAAACACAGCGGCTCCGGACTCCACCAAGAACTTACAGACCTGAACGTTGTTACAAGAGGCCGCGCAGTGCAAGGGAGTCCTGGGGAGTGAGACACAACAAGGGCAGAGAGGTTTTTCTAAAGTGAATGGCACCTGATATGAAGACAATTCTTAAAGCACAAATATCCCCGAAGTCAGACAGTGGTTTAGCTTAACTAGTGAGGAGCATCCGCCTGGAGCATGATGCTTTCAGGATCTATCTATATGGGATCAAATGAGCAACAGCAACTCGAAGAATGTAATCAATGTCACTGTACCGTCCACCTAGAACTGTTTAAAAAAATAATGAGAGAAAATCATTCGATATCTAATTTATTATAGAATCTAAATGGCCCAACATTAAATAAACAAAAAAGGCTATAAACTTAAAAATACTGGAGTAAATATAATGTGATTATGATTACTTAAAAAAAAAATCCTACATAGAAAAATCGATTGTCAGTGTGTTTTCACAAAGAAAGCATTATATATATATAATTTAAAATGTTCTTTTGGTTAAAAAAAGAAGTTCAACACAGAATTTACTATGCAATCTATTACAGTCAGGACCATAATTATAATCATTTATAATACTTCCTGTGTTGAACGCACAACCAGTTTCACAAAATGCTCCATGAGAAACGGATTCCGTGGTGACACATATTTTGGGAATATTGTAAATTATAATCCCCTTTTAGAGAGATACATTGAACCTGTGTGATAGCTTGAACTCAACTGCCTGGTTTTTCCTAGTCTCCCAAGTTTTCCACCTTCAACAGGGTGCAGTCTTACCACTTTTCTGTCATTCATTTTAGTGGAAAATATATGAGTTTTCCTTCTCTGAAATGTTCCTCCTTACACCGGCTCTGGCTTTGGCAGGTTTTACGGTACATTATAGACACTGAAAAGTTTCAGGGGTTGGGGGAACCTTGCTTAAACCAGCACTTCTCAAATTTGTTTAAGCATGCTAATTAACTGTGTACCACTTTCTAACACTTCTTATTTTTAATATGATTTAACTACTGAACTTTCAAAAACGCCATCTACTTCCAGAATGGGAATGGGATGACTGTTACATGAACACAAGTTAACTCCTCAAAAATCTATACCACGTTTCTCCAGCTAGATTGTAAAGCAGCTCGAGGATATATGCTGATGGACTTCTCTGCCTCCCCACGGCACCTACAACACTGCTTACGCTTAACAGATACGGCTGGAGTGCGATGGAGTTAACAGAAAACCTTACCATCCATCACTATCCGCGGCATTTACATTCACACCAAACTGGACAAGGAACTTCACAATTTCTGTGTGGCCCGCACACACAGCATTGTGAAGAGCTGTGATGCCTTCATCATTCGGCAGGCTTGGGTCATCAACCTGTAATATCAGTAAGAAGGGGGAGCATCACTCAAATTTCTTGTCACCTGAATCGTCACTATTAACTGGCTCCTTAAGGTCAAGAGAACAGAAGTAGACTCTTGTGGCTTTTTTTTTTTTTTTTTTAAATAATAATTAAAACCCACAGGAACCGAGAAACGTACACCAAGAATAATTCTAAAAAGAAGATAGTAGGAATAACCACATTAAGTAGGTGCTCACTATAAAAAGGTTTTTCAAAAAAATTGAAGAAGCAGTACCAGGAACTATATTCTTATAATCATTTTTGTTTATCCTCCCAACTTGCCACCACAAATTAGTTTCTAAGCAGAAGCTACATTTGCCATGGAAAGAAAAAAAGATCAACTAAAAATATTTTAAATAGTAGGCTTCTGAAAAGCAGGACCACATTTGTAATTTAATACTGTATAGTACAAGTCCATACGCAAGCAATTTTTAAATGAACTAATGATCTCCCTAAGAAAGAAAAGTACTCTAGAGGACCTGAAGTGAAGATTTAACTCTGCATTGTCAAAAATTTTACAGTCACACCTTTAAAACAGCAAAGTCCATTTTGGAACATGTTCAAGAGTTTCTCTACACCAAGCCACTCCCCAAAAAGAAAACAATTTAAAAATACATCTTCTCCAGAGTCATTTTCTGTTAGAGCTTTAAAACAAAATACAAGGTCTTCTTTAAAAGAACATTCTAAGTATAATCATACCTCATATATAATTCTCTGTACAAGGTCAAATTCTCCCTCCAAAGACGAATCTAGAAGTAAAGCAAGGGGGTTGAACTTCACCCTCATTCCATGAGCAATCCGCTCTGAGCCAGTTTTACGTAAGTTTGTCCTTTTGCCCTGAGGAAGAACCGCATGGAAAATTAAGGATCTTGTTCTAAGCAGAAGAGAACAGCAACAACAACAAAATGGGTGGAATAACATCCAGTTAATGTGATGAAAGGAATTTTAAAAATATGTATATTTAGCACATTTTATTTGAAGTATAGTCTATTCAGAAAAGTACACAAATCATAATATTCAGCTCAATGAACTTTCACAAAGTAAACACACCCATGCAACAAAGTGGGAGGAACTTAACTTTACAAACCCCAATAAAATTAGAGTAATACATTACAGCACACTAAAAAACAAACCAACCAACCCACTGCTGTCAAGTTGATTCTGACTCATAGTGACCCTACAGGACAGAGGAGAACTGCCCCATGGGGTTTCCAAGACTGTAATCTTTACAGAAGCAGATTGTCAGATCTTTGTCCCGTGGAGCAGCTGGTAGGTTTGAACCGCCAACCTTTCGGTTAGCAGCCAAGCACTTACCCACTGCGCTACCAGGGCTCCTTACTATAGCGTAAGCGATGAATATAATCTGATGTGGCAAGCAGGCTGGCTTTCTGTCAAGTGTCAAAATTAGCCAAGATTGATCTTTAAATGACCTATCTCATACAGCATAACAAATCCCACACTCTTAAACCAGACAAGAGTATAACACAGAATTACAATAGCTAACATTTACTGAACGATTACTCATTTAACCCTCACAAAAACCTATTATCTCCATTTTACAGATGAGGAAACTCAGGCACGCAGCCAGAAAATGGCACGGCCAGAATCCAAACCCAAGGGATCTGGCTTCTTGGGAGCCCTTGCTCTTAACCATTTCACTCCCAAATGCCTCCTCAGGGAAAAGCATATAATTAAAGTAAATAACAGAGATAATTTGTCTTAGATATACCAAGTAGAATCCTCCCAGTCTTAAAATGATATCACTATTTTATATATAAGAAATTTAATTATTCTTATAAATACAAAAGTAGATTATCGTCTTTCTATATTTTAATTAAAAAAAAAACAAAAACTCATTGCGTTCTAGTCAATTCTGACTCATAGTGACCCTACAGGACAGAGTAGAACTGCTCCCCACCACGCAGGGTTTCCAAGGAGCAGCTGGTGGATTCTAACTGATGACCTTTTGGTTAGCAGCCAAGCTCTTAACCACTGAGACACCAGGGGTCCATATTTTAATAAGTCAGGCTAAAAGCTAAGGCAAAAATTTAAACACCAGATCTAACATCCTTATAAAATAGGTTTCTTAAAACGCATCCAGCAAAACGAAAATACCTTCTAAGGTGTTACACCCCACACGTATGCTTCTTTCATTTTATCTCAATGTGGAAAACTACAGCATGAAAAAACTTCAGCGGCACACAATATATTTTACAAAGTTTGCAATGGCTAAATGTTGTTTCTTAAACAAAAGAGAAGTGTGAACATTACATGATTGCAGGGAATACAATTCAGAAGCAGTACCACCAAAGAACGCCTGTTGTACCCACATTGAAAGGATACGTGACATAGTGAGGCTCCTTGTTTTTACTGGAGACCGAGAAGGAAAAAGTGAATCCCTTTCCCAGGAAGAGAATAACAGAACCTTAAAAAAAAAAAGTGTGCTACGTCGTTACAAACTCTGGTTTCCTTTTTCCTCCTTGAAAATGTGGGGTATTTTTTGACACAACAGAAAAAACAGGGGAAATAACGTGAGTAGCTATGGTGTGGAGCCCTGGTGACGCAGTGGTTCAGTGCTACGGCTGCTAACCAAAAGATGGGCAGTTCAAATCCACCAGCCGCTCCTTGGAAACCCTATGGGGCAGTTCTACCCGGTCCTATAGGGTCATTATGAGTCAGAATCGACTCGACAGCAACGGGTTTGGTTTGGTTTTGGCAGCTACAGCGTGGATTGATTTTGGCCAGTATGGCTTAAAATTTCCTTCCTCTTTTCTCAAATAAAACAAACAAGCCTCAGGATTTCGGAGGCACAGAGTTATTTTAAAGAGTGTTAACCTCTATTTTCAAACTCCTTTTTTCTATAGTCAAATGTTTACTATAACCACAAAGTTAAAGTAACTCTGAACAATTGTTATCTTCGAATACCATCTCATCTAAAAATATAGTAAGGGATTGAGCATATAAAGTACATTTTTCGACCCTTAAAAAATGCTGTTTTGGTTCTGACCAGGTTTTAAAAATTCATAAGCATCCTGCCCCTTTCTGTGCTTACTGAAACAAAAACAACCTCAAATTAACTGCGGAAATGTAGATTTTATTTAAAGACATTCTGGAATTTTGATTTTCTCTCACCTATTTCAAGGAGACATGCTAAACTTCTGAACAAACAAGTTTAATTATTTGGAAGGAGTATGGAATGCATGCCTAAGTCAAAACATATGCAATCTGAGAATAACTTAATGTCAGTGTACAAAGAAACCTTGGGACCATCACATTATCCAGAGATTTCCAAACTATGCTGACGGCACAGAGGAGGCAGTGCCCATCCCACCCTCTGTCCCCGTTACCCTGCCCTGCCCTCATTTCATCCAACCCTTCCGATTTTATCACCATTGTAAGTTTAAGGTTCCACCTACTATTTCATTAAAAGTAAATTTCACTGCTAGAAAAAGAAAAGTTTGAAAAAGAATGATAAATCTAATGAGAGAAGTTACACTTTCTGCCTGATTTTACAGAGCTGAGCTAGGATCACAAGTTTCAAATCCAGGTCTTGTCATTCCTGGTCTAGGGTTGCTTCCTTAATATGAGACATCAGCTAGAGAAGAAACAGCTAACGTAGTATTTGCAAGAAGAAAACTGTTTCCTTCACAAAGAAATGGGTTCTTCCTAAAAAAACACTGTTCTGTATCCTGAATATACTGACCTTTGATAACATTTATAAGATCCACTCTGTACCAAGGGAATTTTACAACAAAAGGGCAAACTGTAGAATTACAGAGTCTATTTGCTATACTAGGCAATCTGAACACAAGCCATCTTTTATAACTTGCAATAAGTACTTGTTGGTGTTTCACTGATGCCTGACTATCAACCACCCAGAAGAGTAGGATAAGGCAAAAGACTCCTGAAATGATCGCAGGAGACTGCATTACTTACAGGAGGCAGAGAAACCTGCCCTGTGATTTCGGGCGGGCGCATGCTCACAGAGTCTTCTCCCGGCCCTTCAGGTTCCCCAGACGGGTATGGCGGGGGTGGATATGGGGGATACTCCTCCAGGTATACTTCAAGTAGATGGGGAGCCTCTGGATTGGGTTCTTCGAAGTTACTCTGGAGATTCGGGCCATTGTCTGGGGCTCCTTCAGACACGTAGTCAAGTCCTGGAGAAGAAGCTGACGTGTCCTTGTTCTCTGTACTGGCACTCCCTGCTTCCTCTGGGGACACTGATTCAGGAACCAGAGAGACCACTTCCTTCTCTGGTTCCACATGTAAGTATGGATTCAGAATCTCGACTGGGCTTTCTGGGCTGGCAGTCCCTGATGCTGGCTTAGGTGGGTATGATGGGACAGAGATGGTCTCCATGGCAGCTATGGTGGTTCTCTGATACAAAAGCTTCTGGATATTTGGCCCATTAGGACCCTCGGGCTCCGTAATAGAGCTCCGTTTTTTTAGTGGCCTCGGTGCGTTAGACAGTTTCTTTCGTAGGGCTTCTAAGTCGGCATCACTCTGGTTGCGGTAGGGATGCGACAAGAAAGGCAGTAACTTGGTGGGGCTGAGCGGACGGGGAAATCGTTCATTTTCATGGTTCTCCTGACCTGAGGAGACTGGCTCTGTTTCAGGCTCCGGGCTGCCAGGCTTGCCTTGGCTATTGGAATAGACGTTCTCTGGGTGCTGCTGCTGATTCTGGGCTGCAGCAATCACAGGCTTGCCATATACTAATTGGAAAAGGAAAAACCCTGGTTAGTATCAGTTAAGCAGAACTGGCAAGTAACAGATACGACTAACAATAACTAAAGCTTAATTAACAGTCATTACATCATGCTCTTCAATACAAGTAATATTTTTTAAATAATAATTTAACAAATGACAAAGCACAGCTTCTATCTTTGTATAACAAACTTATCACAGAATCAAAACCCGTTAACTGTAACATGCACCATCATATTACGTATTAATAAGACAGAAAATGCTGCCTGCCAATGAAAATTGTAGGAAATCACTCCCTGTAACCTGCAACAAAATTTCAGATGCTAAAATGTGAAAAAAAGTACAAATCAGAATCAATGGAAACTGGTAATCCTCTCGTGTGTCCAGATCAAAACTAAACACGCTCTATCCAAAGCTCTCGTACTTTCCCAGTCAATCAACATGAGAGATCAGTCGGCCTACAAAATTATTAAGAACCACCTGCATTTACCAAAGCCATTCCCCACAACATTAGGATTATATCAAAATTATCTAATTCCCAAATTACTACATTAGCAGTTTTCATCAAAAGACCCATGAAACGAAAAGAAAAGAAGTATGCGGCACATATATTGAATTTCTGCTGTCTAATTTCCTTTCTGACATTTTAGGTCACAATTATATGCTTATTTCATGACCAGAAAGACATTTTCATTCAATTAAAACATGGTGGATTTTATTCTAGATAATATTCTAAATAAACCAGATAAGAACTTAGTACCCAATAAATTACCAGATTGTGTATGTTTAGCACAAACCAATCACTTCATGATTTTCTATTTAGTTAACAGCCATGCCCTCAGTAGAACAACTTAAGATATAATGGTGTTACAACCTCTGCCAGACTGAGTCCAAAACAACTAGATGGTATCCAACTACCATCACCCACTGCTCTGACAGGGATCACAACAGACGGTCCCAGAAAGCACCGGACAAAAATGTAGAACGAAATTCAAATTCACAAAAAAAAGACCAGACTTGCTGGTCTGACAGAGATTGGAGAAACTCTAAGAGTATGGCCCCCGGACACCCTTTTAGCTCAATACTGAAGTCACTTCTGAGGTTCACCCTTCAGCCAAAGATCAGACAGGTCTTTAGGGCCAACAATAACACAGGTGAGGGACGCAGTTCAATCATGTGTATGGACTAAACAGGTACACCAGAGACGAGAAGGATGGAAAGGACAGGTAAACCGGACGAATGGAAACGGGACCTGGTGTGGAGAAGTGGAGAGTGCTGACACATCGCGGGCTGGCAACCAGTGTCACAAAACAATCTGTGTACTGTTTAATGAGAAACTAATGTGCTATGTGAACTTTCACCCAAAGCGCACGCGCACGCACACACACGATATTAACAGTGTTATTTTGTAAAAACCTATACACAAGGGCAATTGTCCAATCCTCTATGCTGCAAAGCGCCTGGTAACACCCAGCGCAGACATGGTCTTCTGCACTGTGACTGCCCGTGGGCATTTGTCTCCCCCTCACCAGTGAGCTCCAAGAACTGGAACACATTTCATTCAACTATTACCTTCAGTGACTACGGCAGCAGCTGACATTTAGTAAGCACTCTTTTCAACTCTCGATTAATAACAGAAGCCACGATTAAATAAAACTCTTAGAACAAAGGCATCAGTCAAAACAGATACAAGTTATTTTGCTGCTGGCTGATAGATGGAGGCTCTGGGGCAGGACTTTAACACACACCTCAACCACACAGGTGAAAACAAGACCCCGAACCTTACCACTCGCAAAGTGTGGCCCTCTGGTGTGTGTCTTGGTCAATGCACTCTGCACTGCCTGTTGGAAGTTTTTCCCGGGAGCCTGATGCTGGGTGTACATGGAATATATAGAGCTCGCTGCCACGGTCTGTGGTTTTCTGAAGGGTGGGAGGAGGGTGTCCTTCGAAGGCTGAGGAGTGAAGGGCCGGACGGCGGCAGCAGGTGGGCTCTCTTGCTTAGGACCTGGAGAAAGGGTTTGGTCTTGGCCAACTAAAGGCACGCTGGTGGACAGCAGGACCCTCTGCTGCTGTCCTGCTGTTTTCGGTTTATTTCCCACCGATGTAACCGCTGTTGACAACTGCTGAGGACTGCCATCTGGCTTAATGTCTGATGGTGACTGATTAGTTTGTCCAAAATAAGGCAAATTAATCTGTTTTGGTTTTGTGGGAACAGGAGGTGGTACTTTAGCACCATTTTTATTTGTAGCCTGTAACACACACAATAAAAAGCCAGTTAAAAATCACTGTGTGACAGGATGCTTTAGATGACCTCATTCCACAAATGTTAAGTGTACACTATATAAACTCTCAACTTCTAAATCATCAAAAAGCTTTAAATCTCTGAAATTAATTACATTTAATAACAACTTCAGGAATACAATACACTCCCTCCCCTGAAAGACTTCCTCCCCACCTCCACTTCCTGTTAAGACAATTCTAAGTGCCCACTTGACAGCTTTTCATCGCCATTTTTCATATTCACAGATGGACCGACAAACGAAAACCATTCTGTTCACTGAACTTCACGCAGTGTAGGCCACTGTGGTTAAAAAAACACCTAACTTGGAGTGTTCGCCTACAGCCTGGCTGTCAAAGGTCAATCATACAGTTATACAACATTACCATCAAATCACTGATATAATCTCAGCTCCAAATGCTGAAGAAACAAGCTACCTGAACGCACAAATACAATGTTCTTCAATACACTTACATTTTTTAGAGAATCACAAGAACTATGACCCAGAAGCAACTGTATCAGCCATTCTCCAGTTTGATGTGAGACCGCAAATATACTCAAGTAACAGAAATTAAAATAACAAAAAGCCGTTGCATTTTCTATTCTTACTTAAATACGTAGTTTCTTTCTCCTGTTCTCCTGCACATAGTTCTATATCCCTTTTAAAAAATGCACAAATTACCACTAAGTTTTTAAAACTGGATATCCTTAAGTACCTGAGCATCCCGCAAGATATCTTCACTGCTCTGGTTTTTCCTCAGGGTACCAAAGGACAGCGGGGCAGCTGCCTGGTCCACCGTGTCAAACATTGAGAAGGGGCGCACTTTCTTCTCTTTCTCCCTCAGTGGGACCTCCCCATCATCAGCTGAAGACAGGGGGGAAAAAAATCACATTAATATTCAAACTGTGTGATAAAATTCCTTATCTACTCATAAATTTGTCGCTCCTAAATTTCTTTCAAAGCCTGTATGTTTCAAACATACAAATTCTGTATTTTTCTTATGTTTCAATTAAGCTGAATAACCAAAATGCCACAATGATAATACCCTTAGCTCTCAGCTAAATGAAGGTATCCTGGAAATAAACTAAATACTAGCTTTAACACACTGGAAAATAAACCATCTAAAAAAGAATACACAGCATTTTGTAGATAACCGAAATATAATCTTCACTCCTGGACAGAGCGAGAGAAAAACGTAGAACAAATTCACAAAAAAGACCAGGCTTACTGGTCTAACAGACTGGAGGAACCCCTGAAACTGCGGCCCCCAGACACCCTGCAAACTCAGAACTGAAGCCGCTCCCAAGTTCCCCTTTCAGCCAGGTATCAGACAGGACTATAAAACAAATATCACCACCCGTGAGGAGGAACATGCTCCTTAGATGAACCAAGTATATGAGACTAAATGGGCAGCACCTGCCCAAAAGCAAAGATGAGACGGCAGGAAGGGGCAGGAAAACTGGACAAACAGAAATAGGGAGCCCAGGGGGAAAGGGGGAGAGTGCTGACACATTGCGGGGATTGCAACCAATGTCACAAAACAATTTGTGTATATTTATTTTTTTTATTTTTTTTTTATTGTACTTCAGGTGAAGGCTTACAGAACAAATAGTTTCTCATGAAACAGAAGTACACATGTTGTTTTATGACATTGGTTAACAACCCCACAACGTATCAACCCTCTAACTTCTCCACCTATTTTTTTTGGTGAAAATACACATAGCCAAAGATACACCATTTCAAAAATTTCTACATGCACAGTTCAGTGACATTGACTACGCTCTTCCAATTGTGTTGCTATTCCCACTTAAGATGAAGGCTTACAGAACAAAATAGCTTCTCATTTAACAGTTACTACAAACGTTGCCCTATGACAATGGTTAACAATCTCACAACACATCAACAATACCCTTACTCAAGCTTGGGTTCCTTATCACCAGCTTCCTTGTCCCCTTCTGCTCTCTGGCCCTTGTCACTGGACTCCTGTACCTCGTTAGTCTCATTTGGTTTTCAGGGGCTGTCCACTCCCAGGCTGAACAGTGAACCTCGGAGGTAACTTCACCACTGAGCTAAAAGGGTATCTGGCGGTCATACTCTTGGGGTTTCTACAGTCTCCTTTAGGCTGGTAAATCTGGTCTTTTTTTTGTGAGTTAGAATTATGTTCTACATCCTTCTCCACTCTGTCCAGAACCCTCTGTTGTGATCCTGGTCAGAGTGTGTATAAATTTTTGAATGAGAAACTAATTTGCTCTGTAAGCTTTCACCTAAAGCACAATAAAATGTTTTAAAAATATACAGAAAACGTTCAGGAGCAGCATGAATAAACCTCACCTTGGTCCGGAGCGTTCCCAGCGCTTTTAGATACAGAAGCAGAGCCTTGGCTCGGGAAAAGGTCTGCATTTGAATGACTCCAGTCAAGTCCAACTGGGTGGATTTTAGAGCCTAGAATGCAGGCAAGCAGCTATAAATAACCCACTATTCTAACAGTTTTTTAACGTTTACTTTTCTGCTAAGAATTTTAATCTCTAAAAGCAGCTTTCCATTTCAGACTCACATCCCAGTAAACTTATTTAGAAAATACTGTATCAGATTTCTATTCCTAACTTTAAATTTTTCCCTTACTCAAGCAATTTAAAATTAGTCATAGCAAACTCAAGGTCTGCTCTAAGCCGCAAGAGCACATTACTCCTCGCTGAGGAGGAAACCATCACCAGGACGCAGAGACGATCAGGCAGAGACGATCAGGCAGATCCCGACAATGCGCCGCGGGGCCTGAGGGCACCTTTCAGCACCGCCACTAGATATGCTTGCAACACCAAGAGCAGGGATGCCGGCTTTCAACCCGGGGCTCCCACAAATCCATGATTTAGGTTTTTTCTACACTAACATTTTAATGTCAAAACTATGTCTTTTATTTTTCCTTAAAGAAACAAATGTTACTCTTTCTACAGTAAGACATTTCTTAAACTTTCACCTAAATCACAATAAAAAAAAATTTTTTTTTAAAGATATTTCTTCACAGTAGTAATTATGGCAAAATAGCAAATGATTTTAAAATCTGCTGTATTTTACACAGGATTGTGGTTAGGGAAAACAATTACTTTTTGTTTCCAGGGGTCTGAATGAGAAGCTCATCATAAGATGTTTTTACCCTGCATTTCCCGAAACTCTCCCTGCTCCCCTCCCACTACAAAACCCTGAGGCCTACGCAGAACACAAAGATTACTAACTGCTGCACTTATCCACAGATGCCAAGGGCCTCTGTTCTTCTGTTTATCTCCCAATATTTCTATCTTTACTCTAAGAATCACCTGCAGGCAAATTCTCCGGCGCAGCACGTACCATTTAACACCCTTCACCCACAGAACGGATTCCCAGCCTCTCGTCCTGCAACCTATGACATCACTAACACACAGGTGGTGTTTTTACCCAAAAAGGACGGTTCTCCAGTGACTAACACCAGATCAGAATTTCCTTATAAACAAGAAAGAACTTTTCAAAACAATTTTCAGATCTGTACAACTATTATACTTTACTTCTTTTCCAGAAGATAACTGTATTGTTTAGGGTTAAAAAAACCTATCACACTAGCAGACAATACAAAGGGATTCTTAGAATTTAAAAACGAGCAAGAGCTATGATGATAACGTTTTTTTAAAAAACACCAAAGCTGGGAAAAACAATCGCAGGGGTGAGGGCAGAAGGACTTGGGAATGACTTGTTTTTACCTTTAGCTTGTGAACAAGCCCCAGCCCTCATATTCGGCAGTGTTTGCATTTTCATCGGCCCCTCTGAAGCCTGCATGGCCAGGGCCCCATCCAGCAAGGCTGGTTTCACCAGGAGCTCAGGCCTCGAGGGCATCCGTGGCATAGTGGATGACTGGATATAGGGACCGACTGCAGCCACGCGACTCGGTGCTGACACAGCTTGCTGAGGAAGATTTCCATCCGATGAAACCTTAGAAAAAAAGAGCACAGGTCTTTACTAGTACAACCCATACTGGACAATGAACTGAGAAAGAGTCGTGAATTTTAAGTGTTTGCAATTTTTTTAAAACAAGCACCTTCAGGACCGAGCCCAAGTCTCCAAGAAACGTCCCAAAACAAAAACACTCACAAGGAATTCTCACCCATACTTTGTTACAAGTATCGAATGAAAAGCAGAGCCACGTAGGCAGTAACACTAAAAGGTAAAAGAGCAGTGGATTCTTGCTGGGGATCCACACACCGCCTCTCTTCTCAGAGGGCACACGCAGCAATGATTCTGAAGAAGCTGCGGATGCGTAACTGACCTCATGGGCTGGTCATCTTTTTCACTCCTCCCTCGGCCCACGACAAACCACCTCCTTACGGGCAGATTCTCTTTCTGCTGCAGAGCTGCCTTCTTCTTCCACAGCCGGTCCCTCAGCTCGTTCACACGCTTATCCATGACTGCCACTTCTGAATTGCGCTTATTCAGGCACTCCCTCTGTTGCTGAAGCTTGGCGTTCTGCTCTTGGTTCAATTTGTTTCTTAACTGAGAAAAAGTGAAAACAAGAAAAAAAGTAGCCAAGGAGCAGGGAGAAAAATTTCTCAAAACAGAAAATCACATGGATAACTATTATATAATTTCTAAAAATGTAAGATTCTTCCACCCCTTCACAATTCTCATCTTGGTTTAAAATTAAGTGACACCTGTGTCAGAACCCCAGCTGAGGATGAAGAATGCCTCAAATTTCTGCTATGAGGTCCTATAAAGTTTATTCTGGATTCTTTGGAGTTTAGGTTCCCCTCCCTAAAAAAAAAAAAAGAAAAAGCAACCAAAATCCAGCCCTTTCGAGAGTGTTGACATGTCATGGGGTTGTTAATCAATGTCAGAAAACAATATGTGTATGACTGTTTAATGAGAAACTATTTGTTCTGTAAACCTTCATCTAAAGTACAATAAAAAAAAAAAAATCCAGCCCTTTCTGCCACTTATATGAACACCTCTGTGTTCCTGGAGGATTCCCTGGGTGGTGCACCTGGGTGGTGCAGTTAACATGCTCAGCTGCTAACTGAAAGGTCTGAGTCCACCCAGAGGCCTCTCCGAAGAAAGGTCTGGTGATCTACTTCCAAAAAATCAGCTACTGAAAAAACAATGGGGTACAGTTCGACCCAGATCCACAATTGTGGCAACCATGGAGAGGAGGCTGTTGTTGTTAGCTGCCGCTGAGTCGCCTCTGACTCGGGGCAACCCCGTGCGTGCAGAGCAGAACTGCTCCGTAGGGTTTTCAAGGCTGTGACCTTTTAGAAGCAGATCGCCAAGCCTGTCTTCTGAGGAGCCTCTGGATGGTTTCAAGCCACCAATCTTTTGGCTAGTAGTTGAGTGCTTAACCGTTTATGCCGCCAGGCACTAGAGAGGAAGTGACGCTGTGTTTGGTAACCAGGTGAGGTTTACCTGCAGCTCCTTGTAGAGGCGATCGAGCTCAGCCACTGCAGACTGGCTGTCCTGGTGGCCGTCGATCCTGCCGTTCTTGAGCATCTCCAGCTGTCTTGTAAGTTCCTCTACTTTTGACATGGCCAGAACGAGCTCCCTCTGCTTTTGCTGGAACAAGCTATTCATCTGTTCAATTTCCTCCACTAGAAAGGGAGCCAGAACAGCAACAAGAGTTGAAAAGGAAAATAAGAAGGGATTACTTCCCAGGCAACCAAGTTTTACGATAAACTTTCTAATAAAAAGTAGAGAGATTTTTTTCAGAAATGTCCTAAAACCAACCTCTTTCTTCTAGAAGCAAATGAAACCACCGACATCTCTAAATGAACAAAAATCCCTACCTTGATCAAAACTCTCAGTCAAAAGATGTCTAGAAAAAAAAGAAAAACTACATTTCCAAAGGTAATTTAGAAACCTTTTCTAAAACATTCAACAATTTAATTAATTCATAGGAAATAGTAGCATCAAAACTGTAGTGTCCTCCACCAGCCTGAGCCCAGCACAACTAGATGGTGCCGGGCTACCACCGACTGCTCTGACAGGGATCACAACAGAGGGTGCCAGACAGAGCAGGAGAAAAATGTAGAACAAAATTCAAATTCAAAGAAAAAAAAAAAAGACCAGACTTAGTTGTCTGACAGCAACTGGAGAACCCCTGAGCCTACAGCACCCGGAAATCATCTCAACTCAGAACTGAAGCCACTCACGAAGTTCATCCTTCAGCCAAAGTTTAAAACCAAACCCACTGCCATCAAGTCGATTCTGACTCGTAGCGACCCTAAAGGACAGAGTAGACTGCCCCATAGGGTTTCTAAGGAGCGGCTGGTGGATTTAACCTGCCAACCTTTTGGTAAACAGCCGAGCTCTTAACCACTATACCACCAAAGCTCAGCCAAAGATTAGACAAGTCTATCAAACAAATAATACACGTGAGGAACGTACTTCCTAGTTCAATCATGTATACGAGACCCAATGGGCAACACCTGCCCGAAAGCAATGACGAGAGAGAGGGCAGGAAGGGACGAGAAAAATGGACAAACGGAAACAGGGAACCTGGGCTAAGGAAGGCGACAGTGTTGACACATAGCGGGAATTGCAACCGATGTCACAAAGCAATTTGTGTATAACTTGTTGAATGAGATACTAGTTTGCTCTGTAAACTTTCACCTAAAGCACAATTTAAAAAAAACTGTAGTGAGTTACACTTTTTCCAAAAATTCTTATAAAGTTATCTACAAAGTTTCATCATATTTTTACTTACTATAAATTTATATAAATGTCCTACACCAATGTGTTTTCTTACACCACGCAGCCTTTAGTACTGAAGTCAACCTACTAGCAGCAACTCACCCAGTTTCCCGTTGCTTAGCCTCTTCTGTTCCACGTGGCCTTTAAGTGCTCTCACTTTTTTTAGCTTAGCTTCCTGACTCTCAGCTATTTCTTTCAGCCTCTTAAGCTTCTCCTGCTCAGCAGCTTGTTGCTGACGCTGATCTTGCTGTTTCAAAAACTTTAGGCGCTGCTCCTACAGAGAAAGCAATCATCAGGTGTATGATTTTTGACAGGTACACCACTACCCCAGAAATAACCTAACCACAACGCTTAGACACTGAGACTGCCGTGCACCTGATGCTCTGTCCTGGGCTCGCCACCTGTCCTGTATGCTGCCATCAGAATCACCTCGGGGGGCTGTTTAAAGCACACGCTCCTGGGCCCCATCCTAGACTTAACAAATCAGAATCTCATGGAAGGAAGATCCAGGAGTCAGTATTTTTAACCCAAGTGGTCTTATGCGGCAAGCAAGCAGCAAACCTTGAGCTGGTTTTCATGAACGGCTGCTACAATGTTAAAAAGGAGCTCATGTACAGAGGGGACACACTGTAAGAAAGCGGCTAAATGCACAGTCTTTGGAGTCAAATTTGGATTCAAACCCAAGCTCTGCCACTTATTAGCTATGAGACCTTGGGCAAATTAGAGAACCTCATTCAGTCTATGAGTCTATGTTTCTCCGTCTATAAAATGGGGATGGTGAATAGAAGCTTCCTCATAAGGCTATGGTGATAAATGAAATGGGAAATGCAAAGCTCTTGTAAACGGTAACTTACGTAGTATGTACACAATAAACAGTGACTGAAAAGAGCTAAAGAAATGCCTCAGCACCTTTAGAAAACTACGATTATGCAATTTAAAAATTTATTTCTATTAAAACATTTTAATTAAAACTGAATTAACAGAGCCATGTTGTTTATAATCAAAGGTGGACATCTTCTAGAATATGCTTAAAACATATGAATAATGCAGAAATAATTTCAAATTACAGACCTAAAGGTCAGAGATTTATTCTGCAACGATCAACCTTTTTATCTGAACACGTGTCCTTGCTTCCCAACGCATGCAGCATCGGCACTGCCCGGGAGCTTGTCAGAAACGCAGACACTCAGACTCTAGCCCATACCTACTGAATCAGAATCTGTATTTTTAGCAAGATCCCTTAATATGCTTATTAAAGTTTGAGAAGCAATGATATACGTGATTTTGAAAACAATGGTGTCTCGTATTACAAATAGGAACGGATGCACAGGAATCCTAGAAGTGTTGTATGGAAGGCCGCAGTGCATGTTGAAAACTGCCTTAAAGAATCCTGGCCATTACTTCAAAGCCCTGCTGGGTGACTTGCTATGTCTCCCCCCCAGCTTCAGTGAACTTACAATCACTGCAAGGCTGGTCAGATGCAGATACTGAGTGTTCAGACTCTGTGATATAACACTGGTCCAGCCCACTGTCTGTCTTTTGTAAGTAAAGTTTTACTGGAACGCAGCCACACCTACTGATTGAAGTGCTATCCAAGGCTGCTTCCACACTATAACAGAGAAGGTGAGTCGTTTCATCAGAGAGCATTGATACAAAGCCAAGGGTTCCTTCACAGAGAAAGTCTGATGACATCTGGCTTAGATGCTGGCAGAAAAACCAGCAGTGAGACTGTTTTTGATTGTAATGGGGAGGCATCTTGTATTTTCCTTGTTCAAGGCCAGGGCTGGATTAGTCTGTGAGTGGACAATGTCCCCAAATAAAGGCAAGCAGCCTGTTATTGGTGCCGAG